TGTTTTATTGCTGTTTTGTAGAAATTATTTATTAGCTCAGATGTTTCAGAAAAGCAAAAATGGAAATGACAATAGAATATTATTCATGATATAGTTCAAAATGGGAAATAACTGATCATGCAGAAATAAATATTTCTAACAAATAAAGAAAGTTGTCAGTAGTCAGACATACAGATCCACTATTTCTAGCCAGATGATGAGTCTGAAAACAAATCAAAGTCTTGGTAGTCATTTTCTGAGTTGATTCTGTTATTTGTCCACTTCAGTGTGAAACTGTAGTGATGATGTATTATCAGATCAGTCCGATCAGGGCCATTGAAAGACTTCAAGGCTCTTGAAGGATGAGCTCTTGTATCCCTGCTCATGCCTCAGAGATCCCTGCTTGGTCCATGAGCATCAGAGAAGGAATAAGAGCTTTGGCAGAACCAGAGCGATTTCCCTGACAAGAGTGGATAAAGGAAGGAAAAACAGTCAAAGAAGGAAATTAGGATGTACCCATAAAATGTGTCCACTTAATGAAGATTCCATGCTTGAGGTGCAAAGAATTCAACAGATGGAATGATGTGCTTTACAGTCTTTATAGGTCCTGTAGTTTCTGTTTGCTCTCATTCATTTCTAAATATGATACAACCCATCTAGGGTGAGATTTCTAGAAATGGAAGTGTTCTGATGGCCTGGTGTGTAAGACACTTAGCCTACTATTATTATTATTATTATCATGTCTTTAGAGTAGTGATGGGTGGATGAAGCCATACGACGATTTGGGGATTTCTTGTTATTTGGGGCAAAAAAAGATTCATAGCTCTGGGACTTCTAACAAAGCAAGTGCAGCGACATTTGTTGGCTTGTAAAACTCGCTGTACAGTATAGCAGTCCCTAAAGACTTGGGCCTGAGGCACTACAACACCTCGCTATGGCATAAAAAGTTAAAGAACCTTGTGTTTATTATTAAATATGTTCAGAAATGTTGCATTAAAAAGTAGATGTTGCTTTGCAGTATGTGACAGTAAAATAATAAATATGTTATCCAGATTAGATGTTGCTTTGCAGTATGCAGTAAAATAATAAATATGTTATCCAGAAGCACAGATATGGAATATTTAATTAACCTTAAATATGAATGTAGTTTTGTTAGCATGGTTATGGTACAGTGTTAGTGTGGGCTCATGCATTTTAGCTTTATGTTTCATATAAGTGGCAGTGTGATGCGAGTGGAGACTGAGAGTCATTGAATTATGCCATTACTGTTATAACACTATTACTTGGATTTAGTCAACTTTCTGTACACACACTGTGGACAAGGGAGAGAAACAGGATGAAATATTTTGTCAACAACCCAAAGCACTTGATTTAGAGCTTTAGAGACAAGAATCAGAAATTTAAGACCAAATTGTTAGTGTATGCTATGACCCACATCTGCATCCACTCAGGCTACAATATGAAACGATTGCTGAGTACACTGACGTGACCAGCACACAGGCTGACATTTATGATCAAAAAACAAAACAAACTGAGGTAGCAGTGCAGTGATCTGTCACAGATGGGTTTTTATTTATTTATTTATTTTTGTTTATATTGGAATTTATCTACCCGTGATGGAAATATGATTGAGGGCAGTAAACAGAAGCTATGCTACTGCGGTCTCAAGGCTACACAGAAAATAAAACTGTGTACATTTGCACAGCTTGTAGCCACAGGTGTTTGCACACTGCAGTGATTAAAGCGCCATCCTCTGCTGCTGCTTTTTGGTCCCAAAGCCACATCCTGCTTATGAACATGCTAATGAACATTTCCAGTATATTTCTACTATGCTCCTGGGGCAGAAATAAAACCCATAATGACATAAGGGAAATGGAGTAAAGTAAAGCTGCTCCTGAGTGTAGGACCATTAGTGTCATGTGGAAATGGCAGTCCCGCAGATACTGAGGCCCAGCCCTGGTTTTAAATGGTGCAGTAGCTTTAGAAGAGCGGCACTAACCTCCACTGGCTCTCACTTAGATCTGCTGTTTGTGCTCTTGGATGTGTTTTTGTTTTTACCTTAATTCCTATTGGTCAGCTATGTGGTGACTGAACTGATGCAAAGTGACCTACATAAGATCATTGTATCCCCCCAGCCTCTGAGCTCAGACCATGCCAAAGTTTTTCTTTATCAGATTCTACGAGGTATGTTCTCTTCTCTTTCTTTAACACCATCTTGTTGTTATTGTTACATCTACTGTCATGGCCAAAAATATATT